ACCGAGCAGAGTAAAGAAGAATAGCAAAAGCAACAAGAAAATGGAATAAGCATAATACTGATAGAAGAAAAGAAAAGAAAAGACAAGAAAGAAGACAAAATATAGTAAGGACGTGAAATGGAAAAAGATCAGAGACAATCAACAAAAAAAAAGGAAGTGACAAAGAAGTACAGTCAGGAAAAGATAAGAAGGAAAAGTATGAGAAAGGAAAAGTAAGAAACGACGAAGTAGAAAATACAGAATAAAGAGGAGAAGATTGAAGGAAGAACAAAAAAAGCAGGAAATAAAGAAATAAGAGACAGTAATAGAGGAAGAAAAGAAAAAGGAGAAGCGAGAAAACGAGAAATAACAGAAACAAGAAATAAGAAGATGTAAGTTAGAAAAGGAACAAGCAATAAATGAGGAGAAAATTGAAAACGGAAACAAAACAAGATAGGAAAAATAGAAGAAAAATGATCAAACAACAAAATAGCGCAAAACACATGCAAAATAGGCAATACATGAAGGAAAGAGAAAGGAACAAGATAGCAGAATAGCAGATATAGCGACAAAAGCGAAGGCAAGAAGGAGAACGACAAAATAGACAAGAATGGAGAAAATAAGAAAAGAGGCAATAAACAAAAATGAATAAGCATAAAGGAGAAAAAGATCCAAGAGACGAGAAGGAAAAAAGAAAGAAAAGAAGAGAAAAGAAACATTACAGAGAACAAAAATGAGAACATAACAAGATAGTGAAAGCCAAAGGTAGAAGCAAGAAAGAAGAAAAAGAAAACAAGAAGAAAAAAAAAAGAAAAAAGGACAACAACAAGAAAAGAAAAAATAGAAATAATAAAATCAAAGAAAAAAACAGATAAAAGAAGAAATAAAGAAAGAAAAAAGGAAAAAAATATAAGAAAAACAGGAAGAAAGAGAGAGAAAACAACAGAGAAAAAGAAAAAACACAACAAGGGAAAAAAGAATACAACATGAAAACAACAAGAAACAACGTTACAAGTGAGAACAAGAGCAAAGGAAGAAACACAAGATAAGAAAGAGAATATAAACAAAGAAGACAGAAGAGGAAAAAATG